AAAAGAATTTTTTGGACATTTTTTCTTGCGTGAAAAAGGGAGAGACTGAACGATCTCCTGGAAAAACACAGCTTCTACTGTATTATTTTAGATACGGTTTTTTGCGTTTTCGCGAAAAATCGAACATATTATTGGACCCATATATAAATTCTTTAATTAGTCTCGAAAGAGGTAAGAGCTAATTTCTGCATTCGGTGAAAACGGGTAATATTGGCTATAATTCAATAATCTTAATCTTCGCTATCGTTACCTTTTCTCCGAGTAACGCCGCACTCATCTCTTAGTTAACATACAGTATATTTTTAACACAGAGGCTTATAGTGGCCGATTTCATAGCACCACTGGCTACGTGGAGTATTCTAAAATATTTTTACGTCTGTAGCACCTTAATATGGACAGTTTTCTTTAGAATGTCCTCCCGGAAGGCAACCCTTTGGCATATCGGTACAAGTAGCGTTGTAATATACAAACAAACAAAATCGACAGTGATGTTTGTTTTTTTTATGGTACTTTTCATAAAAAACGGAACCTGAGTTATATTTATAATAATTTGTTACTAATTTCAATCGAACGTTTTACTCATGTTCAGTTACTTCTTTATCGTGTAAACAACAGTTGTATTTTATTTATCCTGCAAACAATAGATGCACATTTAAATACAGTTAAATTTTTACGTCTTTATTTTACTTTGTAGTACGAAAACAACACGTCCAACATTTCGCACACTAAAATTTAATTTAATTATTTTTATTCATAAAAATTCATTAAATTTATTTAAGTGTCATTTACTCGCATTTCTATAATATGATTCGAAATATTTATCGACTTTAAATCTGATTTAAGCAACCAACGATCTATTGTGCGATAATGTGCTGTCGAGAAACACTGCTGCTAAACAGGCTCGCCATAAGCGGGCGTGCAAGGCATGCACCACACGCGGGCGGCACGTCCAGGAGGGCAGCAAATCGAGCCGTCGGTCACGTAATATTCAAAGTCATTGTCATAATATCCATTCTACTTATAGCATAAGAAATGTCTTCGCACGGAGAAAAAAATTCGACCGGCGCGCAATTACTATATTCCTATTTATATTATAGCGTTAACATTGCCTCTATTGGCATTTATCAGAATTAAAATGCATTGCGAAACGTCTGTCTGCAGGTTGAACCATCCGGCGGCGCCCGAAAGCCAAGTTCCCACAGTCGTGCACTATGACAGAAGTTGACAGGACTGGCGAAAATAGGGAATCCCCATAGAGCTTCCTTCTCAATTTGTAGCTGTACGCATTCGAACATTTCTATCGTATATCAAATTGCAATTATTTTGTTAATAATTCTTCTGACATGAGTCTAAGTATAATTAATGATACAGTCGACCCTCTATAACACTGTTAATAATTCTGTTTTATATGAATTCCATGTCGTACGAGTCACTTAGATTTTTACAAATACGTGTGCCGTTCACAGCCCGGCACACGTATTTGTAAAAATCTAAGTGACTCGTACAACATGGAATTNTTTTACAAATACGTGTGCCGGGCTGTGAACGGCACACGTATTTGTAAAAATCTAAGTGACTCGTACGACATGGAATTCATATAAAACAGAATTATTAACAGTGTTATAGGGGTCGACTGTATTTTAACTTGGTTAGGATTTAAATCTGAAGCTTAAAGACGATTCAAGTAGTGAAACAGACATTGACGGTATTGATTTGTTTAATGAAATCAATACTTTAAAGTTGCATTTTCCAGAAAACCAGTCTAATGATCCACATAACCTATTGCAATATCTTTTTATTAATGACTTAATTTCAACATTTCCGAACACAGCAATAGCACTAAGAATATTACTTACATTGCAGGTTTCAGTTGCATTCGGTGAAAGGTCCTTTTCAAAGTTAAAAATTATAAATAAAAAATCTATTTAAGATCAACAATGCACCAGCAAAGACTAAGTAATTTAGCTATAGATTCAATTGAGCACGAAATTTTAAACAGTTGGATACAAGTTAATTGATATCAGATTTCGCAAACATAAAGGCAAAAAGAGTTCAATTTATGTTGATAAATATTTATATTGTGACAATGCCGAAGGGACCCCTCTATGCTTCGGCACCACAGAACCGAAGGGTCGACATTGCGTCTGTGAAGACTGCAATGACAAATTTATCTGAACTGACACCACTGTGTCTTCTGCACAGAGACCATTACGTTCGAATTTACGCGCCAGCAGTCGCGTCTGTGGGCGGTTGGACTCGGAATGAAGACCGCTTAAAAAAGTGCATCCAACACAATTTTAACAAAAACAACATTCGTTTATTAAACTAGTTCTACAAAAGGGTATTTCCTCTAAAGCTTCTTCGCGAGAACCGAGTTGGAGAGAGAGCTTACATAACATCGCAAGTCACTATAAATACCTGAAGCACTATGTACGGATTTCCAGATGGCTGTGGAGTCTTGGGAATGTCTGTGTTGCCTTGGATGGCGAATTAAGTCTATCGAAAGTTGAGATCTATTAGTTCTTCGTAGGTGTTCCCAGAAAATCACAGGATATTCGGGAGGGGCGCGCGGCGACCAGCGATGATGATAAATCTTTTCGGCTGGCATACAGGGAATATTCTCGCGGACTCCCAACCGATCTCACTGTTCCTTGGAATCTCTTCTTTATTTTTTACGTTGTCATTTTCCACCAATAGAGAATTTTTTTGTTGTAGTTCCCAGTGACACATTCTGAGTTCCCTGGGAAAGAAAACTACTCCGGGAAGAGAAATGCACTCATATTCCAATAATAAAATGGAAAAGGTTTTTTATCCCTCTGATTTTTAAAGAAATTTCTCTTTCAAAACGAAAAATGAATTTTCTTTCGAAAAATTCCCGAATAAAATTGTGGGGTTTTCCCCTTTCCAAGCCCGATCTCTCACAATATGGTTTTACACTTAAGTAAACAAAAATAACTTATTAATAATAAATAGTATTTCTTTTCTTTTTTCACACCGTTATGAGACAACAGTAAAGAGCCGTTCTGGCAAGATCAGCATAGGTAGTTGTAGTTAAACAGAGGGTGGCATAATTGATATTGCACACGGGCGTTCAAACACCTAGCGGCGCCCCTGCTGCTGAACTCAGTACGTGATGATCAAGCAATAATGAAAAAACTGAGTAGGACTTTTCTCGGCTTTCATGGCACTCGAATGGAAAGATAAAGGGATCACGAAGAATGTCTGATAACACTACTTAACAAATAAAATAAAAACATTTATGGAACTTATATTATAGCGAGTATATAATTGTATAAAGAAAATTTTTATGAATATAGCAAACATAATTTTTGAGCACGTAAATATTTTAAGTTTAAGAATATCATTTACCTCTTGTTTATCACTGATGGCACCCAAATTTTTGGGGAAAATCATTAAAATGCGGACGTAGAAGTGTAGTTTAAGCGACATCCTTCAACCCGTTTTACTGTACTTTTCGAGTAATTTTCCTACAAGTTTTTCATAGTTTCTATTTTTCTGTAGCCCGAAAAATGTTACAATTTTTTTAATAAACGTACATGCACTTTGTTCATCGTCATTCAATTTTTGACTAAATTGTAAATCATGTAGTAAATTTTTCATTTGAAATATTTCTTCCTTCATTAAGCTCAGCTTTACTTAGTTTAGAAAAATATCTGTTTACGGAATCTAAAAGCCGAGCCTTGTGTAACCTGTGCTTTGACGAAAGTTTTTATTAATCTAAGTTTTATATGCAGTAGGAAAAACAAGATATTTTCCGAACCTAAAGAATATTTTTTCCGTTAGCTTGACCTGAAACAATTTTGTCTTTTTCAGGCCATTCTTTTACTCTAAAATTATTTATTAGATCATAACAAAGAAATTGAGAAAAGTTCAAATAAAATGGCTGTAAATGTTTTGTAATTTTCAATTATACAACGATATTAAATTAAAATACTAGCGAAAGATTAGAGCAACTGATTTTGTTGAATTACGATAAAAAATCTCTATTTGAAAAGATTTACTTAAATTTAAAATAACACTAATTCGCATTTGTTCAACGTTAAAATGTGCGTGGCTCCATCAGTTATGGGATTTTACTAAAAAGTCATTTTTATATTATTAATTATTACAAAGTAACATAATTTTTCAGGGAAAAAGAAATTTTTCAAAATATTGCAAATGCCAATCAGAAATAAAAATTTACATGAAGTTAGTCTTTACTCGAGATATAGGCCTAACATATGACTCATTTCTATCTCCCCGCTCTGTATTTTTCTGATAAATCAATACTTCTGACTTATTCCCATTTATTCTACATAAACTGCAACACTTAATAGAGAAGTTTGAAGTTCTTTAGAGGAAGAGATTCAATGTTTAAATCTTCATTTACTTTTTTTGATGATATGAAACCGTGCTTTACAATTTGTTTATGCTTCTAACACAATAAAGTGTTATAAATTAAGACACTTGGCGGGTTTTCTCATTTAAATAAAGATGAGAAAACCCGCCAAGTGTTTTAATTTATAACACTTTATTGTGTTAGAAGCATAAATCTTCATTTACATTGTAATAAAGTACCGTTTCGATTAGAAAACTCAAATTGATTTGTTTTCAAGAATCTTTGTCAATAATTACATGAAATATTTCATGTATGCAGACTTTGAAAAAGTCCAAACAGAGGATAGGTTAGTGGTGTCGATCAAACGAGAAAATCACCAGATATTATTACATGCCTCTAAACATGAAATACCTAAATGATCGTGAAGTGTTCCAAGAACTTGCTCAACATAAAGTAAAATAAGTGAGTTTTATTTTTAAAAATTTGATGACATTTCTGTATTCATTTATATTTCACATAGACATTTCTGTAATCGGTACGAATTTAATTCCTTCTGCAAATAGAGAAATTTGAAAAATGTGACCTCTCTGTTTAATGGCTCATTAATGTTGTTATAATTGGTAGAAACAGATGGATCGAACATGCAGAATCCACGTGTACGCGTTGTACCTGTTCGCATTGGATGTGTATAAATATCGACTTCTGCTCGTGGTAACTCATTCTAAACTCGTTTAGATACCATCGAAGATGAACTCGTTGTTGATCATCACTGCTTGTTTGGTTTTATTCGGTGAGTATGAACTTATAATTGATTAAATTGGTAGTTAATTTTATAAATAGCATAATTCAGAATCGTTATAATTTATTAAAAAGTTATGAAATTCGCGTTATATTTATTACATCATGTTGTATGTTTTGTGAAAATGAAAACAATCGCAGATTATAACTTGTTTTTTCATATATTACTTAGTTCGAAATTCATATTTACAAAAATATTTCGTTGAAAAATTATAAAACTTCACATAAATTCATTGTAGTGTTTCAGAAATCAGAACGATTTGTATTAAATTGATGGAAATGCCATAAATTCTATTAAAGTTGAATTATTTACGTATTATGAGATCTGCATTCGATTGATGGATGGCAATGCAACACAACAGCAATCTGCCAGGAAGGTGTTCTTTTCAGGGGGATATTCTACGGGTCACTAATCTCTATTATTCTAATTTCTATTTCTATCACTCTAATAGTTTAATCTCTATTTAAGAGTTAGACGTGTAAAGTAAATCAGTTTATAGGTGTTGCTATTTGACCAGTGATGGTGTTTTTATTTAAGTATGAATATGTTAGCAATATTTTTAATTTAGCGCTATTCGATTTGTAGAATTCTCTAAGCATTTGCAGTCAATCTATCCGTTAGCTTGAGAGAAGTGAGTTAATAGAATAACGTCATAAATTCAGATTTACAAGAAATTGCATCCTCAAGATTTTTATTATAATATCGTTTTCCTGGCTCGATAAGTCGCCGATAAATACAATGTTACGAATGACACATCATCTCGCTAGTGTTTAAAATAGCATATCTATAATCAGGACTAATTGTAATATTGTAATATCACAATTAGTCCTGATTATATTATTACAGTTAGTCCTGATTATATTATATTACAATTAGACCTGATTATATTACAATTAATCCTAATTATACATCAAAAATAATTGTAATATTGTAATATAACAATTATTCCTGGTGTATAATTGTAATATTTATAATCAGGACTAATGTGTAAAAGAAGTACATTATTATGTACTTTTTTACACATTTTGAGTGCAAAGCATTAAATAATTTAATTTTATTGTATTAATAAGTATTACTTCTTACGGTTGAACAAGACTACTTCTTTGTATTTGTTGCAGAAACAGTGTGGGCAAAACAAGGTTNATTACAATTAATCCTAATTATACATCAAAAATAATTGTAATATTGTAATATAACAATTATTCCTGGTGTATAATTGTAATATTTATAATCAGGACTAATGTGTAAAAGAAGTACATTATTATGTACTTTTTTACACATTTTGAGTGCAAAGCATTAAATATTTTAATTTTATTGTATTAATAAGTATTACTTCTTACGGTTGAACAAGACTACTTCTTTGTATTTGTTGCAGAAACAGTGTGGGCAAAACAAGGTTATCTGGTGTACGAGGACACGGGCTGCAGATACAAGTGCTCGAAATTAGGAGAAAACAGTTACTGCGATGAGGAATGCAAAGCGAAGACCGAAGGAATTGGTGATGGCTATTGCCAAAATAAAGCGTGTTATTGCCGAGGTTTGCCCTATGGTGCAAAGACTTGGCCCATGACTGGTAAATCATGCGGCAGAAAATAATGGCAACGACTTTTTTGTCCACCAACAGAAATACTGTAACGCTTCTTAATTGCAATTAAATGAAATAAAATGTAATACATTCATCTGAGATATCTTCATTATGTGATATATAGGTTTACAGAATACAAAAGTATTATGAATATTTTTCGCGCGAAATCATTTAACTTTTAATTATAAAAAATAATACCCTATGTTTATTCTTCTATTAATGAATCTAGCCAACTTGATCCGAAAGACAGACAGGACCCAATTAACTCGTTTATTAGCCTAAATTAAGATTTATAAAAATCTCTTAAATATAAATGTGAGGGGCTAGCCGGAAATACGGAGTTGGTAAAATTCATGTACAGCTTAATCGGCTGCGCTGTTGGAGAAACAGGCCCGCTGTCGTCTACGGATAGCTTCCTAAGACGTTTATTATGACCAGGGTTCTTGTGAACTCCATGACATTGGCTTTTCCTGACACCAGATATTCAAGTTGCAGATTATCGCGCATTTGTGAGGAATTTCGAGTGAGAGTCGCGAGTAAGTGCAATCGACGAAGGCATTCGATTTAATCAATAACGAGACCATATTATAAACAAATAAATTTAATTGAATCAAACGACATAATAATACAATTAATAGGATTACAAATTATATATTCTAGGCCTATCTCGCGGAGGGAAATAAACTATCTAACTTAATCTTAATTAACCTATACGCGTGAGAGGTAGTTTACGTTAATTTTAAGGTTATACTACTATCACAACATGAAGCTTATTCTTGTCTTCGGTCGTATTTATGTTCGGGATATAAGAGAAAGTTGAGAATCGTAACATTTATGTGCGCATTATAAAAATGTTTCTGACTTCTTAAGTGGCCGCACTGCATAAATTATATGACAACTTTTTCTTATGAACTGGCAAATTGTATGGTAATCTTCCTCTCAATGACTACCTCGATTGGCGGGAAAAAGCCCCTATTTATAGACGGCTCTCCAAGCGGCCAGCACCGTGTACAAAACTGATTCATCAGCGAGTCGGCCTTGTAAAAATAGTTCAACATCCTTTTTCTCGGAAATTGACGGGTGTTACATTCTTTCTTTGTTTAAAATGCTCTTTTCGATAATAATAATTTAAAAATATATTATATTAATTAAAAACGATCTCGCGGATCTTAAATTAAGCTGTGTAAAAATTCTAAATATAACGTTTATATAGAAGTTTCTTTAATAAATCTATTGTACGACACATGATTCTTCAATTTTGGATGCTGAAATATGTGAATTGTCCGTGTTAATCTGTACTGTCCACCTGGTTTGCATAAAATAAAAAGACTCGAACATCCGACAGACAACCAGACTCCCTATAGAAGTATCGAAATAATGATGTTTTTCAAATTTAAATTCGAAATTCATTTTTTTTTATTCACATTCAAAATTCTTTCGAAGTTTTCTGGGTAGATCTAAACAGAATTGTGTAGTGTCCATCACTCATAATGTATACAGTTTATGCTAATTTTATACAATATTTCACCTCTAGAACGTTTTATCTATGAAGAGAAGGAATGAAAAAAAAGTGAACAATAATATGTTTCGAAATTCTCAGCCTTATCCAGTTCCAGTATGACGTCATTAATAATCAAATTAGTGCACAATTTAATTTGCATTTTTTATAATGACTTCTGTAATTTATGAAGTATAAAAGAAAAGTCATCTATGATTTTGGTTCTTCTATAGGGAACAGTAGGATATTGCGCTCCACACATTATAATAACAAACCCAAATAACTAGTTGGGGATGAGCATCAGGAATCTGGCACATTTTTAGTAGCGGCTACAATTGCAAAAATGTGCAATTTGAATTATTGCTCTGATTTTCGATATGCTGCCATGTTTGTTTTTCAATGTTGATGCTTTTTCATCGTAATTTCTGCTTAATCGAAATATAGAGATAAATGTATCTAATAATTATTATTTTTTCACCATTACCTTCTTATAAAAGTACTGTTATTAATGAATAAGTAAAAATATTTTTACGTGTTTTGTTTACAAATCTTAAAACTCTATAAATATTCTGGAGTCACAATCTTGCCTCAATGGAGCTACAGTAATTGGCGTTAAATGACGTTTGTTTATTATGATTTTTATTATATGTAAGCGTGAAAAATTTGTCTTGGATGCCATCTGCAATGTTTGAGCTGAAAAGTTTAATTATAATGAGAATGCCATTTTAATTTCTTCGTTGCCAGCAGTCATTTCGAGTAATGACAATTGCAATAATTAACAATTGAATGTTTTAATGGGACTTAAATAAATGTTGAAAAACTTGAATTGCTATTCCAAAATTCACTACGACAATTAGATAATTCTGTATTGTAGATTATGAATACGTTGACCAAGATCAGTGTGTCAATTGTCCTGATTGAAAACATACAAACGAATTTATTTTTTTGTCGAAAAAAAACGTGTTAGTACGACAATTTTTTGTGCTTCCTACGAATCTCGTTAGGGTGGTGGAGTGTTGTAATGGACAGCGGAGTTGTACTAAACGTGTCACCTGACACTACTTGGAAACTTCGCTCACCCCAACTATCTGACGAGTCTGTTACAATAAATAATTTACAGATTTGTCGTCTATATTTATCAATACAAATAGAAATAGCTCATATTTGTCTTAACCGTTTTATTTTAAAGTCAGAACTAAAGTTATATGACAATAAATTATATACTGTATATTACGGTTTTCCTTATTTTGATGAAAATAAAGTATATTGTGAAAACGTTTGAGCCCACTCACTAAAGTTATTGCATTTGGTCAGAATTAATAATATACTCTGATTAATAAATCTCTGATGTCATCAAGAATAACATTCAATGGTATTTTTTCAGCTATTTTATCTTGTTAATGAGAAATGTTGTGATGCTGTTAAAGTTAAATATCCCATGTCTATGTCATGACCCACATGTGTTTTTGTGAATTTTACAGTACATTCACGATTTTCTTTTTGAATGACTTCATTCTTGCTGAGCAGTAAGCATTTACTTTGCTGCTACCCTAGGTTTTAAGATGTCTAATTCCATTACTTTTGGGTGTATATGTTTCCGATAAAGCTCGAAAGCAGTTAATGTGCACATTACCTAGCTAATTTGCAGATTAACTAGTGTGAACCATTAATGTTGCGAAAATTATTCCATTTTTCAAATTACCTAGGTAATGTGCTGAGTATCTAGGTAATCTGCACATCACCTACTATGCACTCGTAAAGTGAAAATAAGATCTTTGCCAGATATAAATGTACCACAAATAGTTGTGCTTGTCACAAAAATCAATTGCCAAGTAATTAAAAGTGTCACCTCTCTGTAGGCTGCACTAATAAGTAAGCACAATTGGTTAATGTTACATATGATGACTAAACTGGCAGCTTATCTCTGATTCCAGCAAACAGAAGAAAAAAAATAGTTGGGATGCACGTTCTAACATAACCTAACCAATTCTAATAATTTGGTAGGAAATAATTATTGTAATTTATTAGAATAGGTTAGGTTAGGTTAGGTTAGAACGTGCTTCCCCACTGTTTCCTTTCTTCAGTTTGCTAGAATCAGAGATGAGCCGCCATTTTAGTCACCAAAGGTAACATTAACGCACAATTTTATAATGCGACCGCCGGAAGAACTATAATAACTTTATTTTTCATCTTCTGTCTAAAAGTAGGGTATATCGTTGAACTCGCCTTGGTCCCCTCAGTTCATATATATACTCAAAGTTCCGAAATTTCATAGCTGGTTATCTATATAATTTCCCATTTCCCTAATTGTAATGATATTTTAAACCGTTTGATTTTTGTATTACAGTTTTTTAATTGATTGATGATTAATTCTACTAATTTGTTGATTGTTTGATTGTATAAATTAAGTTTATTCTTTAGATATCGACAATTAAATAAACAACGTTATGTTAATTTAAGCGTACAGAAACGTTGCTGTTGTTCCAACAAAGATTGTATTTTTATTTTACTGAATGCCTAGTAGGTAATGCGCAGAGTACCTAGGTAATCTGCACATTACACTTCAAATGGAACAATTTTCGCAACTTTAACGGATCACCCTAGTTCAGTGTTTTTCAACCTGTAAGTCGCGACCTCCAGGTGGGTCGCAAAGCCATATACAGGGGTCGCGGGTAAAAGAAAAAGACAAGTGTTTGTAGGTCCTACACTACAATAAAAAAACTAAATTTTCAGTGAGAGAGCTGTGCCTGTTTATTTTACAGTACAATTAGTTTTTTGATCGATATTTGAATCTCAACAGAAAGAAAATTAAATACGTAGTTTTTAAAATAACTGACATAGTTTTAATATGGCCGTGAGGGATCGCCAGAATTTTTTAACTTGTAAAGGGGTCGCGTATTCAAGAAGGTCGAAAAACACTGCCCTAGTTAATCTGTAAATTAGCTAGGTAATGTACACCATAACTGCTTTCGAGCTTTAGCGGTAACTTATATATTCCAGAGCGGTGACAAGAAAAATACAGTTTGACTTGTCCTGCATACTTTAAATCAGGACCTCTGGTTGTTTTAACAAATTTAGCATATGACTTTTGTTCAGTCTCTTTTTTCCATGCTATAAACAAGTCTACTGGAAAAAATATCAGTATTTCTTCTTGTATTGTTAATTCATGAACGCTGTTAAAATGTTCCAGCAGAGGTTTTTTGGAATAACTAGCGTCACACAGACCACAGTTCAAAATGTTCGAATTATCAGGTGTTTCAATCATATCACCATGGTCATTCCGGAGATGATAATGTAGCCGGCGATCTTGATTGAATTTCCTGGAACATAAATGACAAGGAAAATTAAACAATTTCTGCAACTTCTTTGGATTTATTAACTCGTTCACGTGATCTGGGTGTAAATTGTTTGTATGCACTTATTAAATAACGAAACTCTTTAAAAGTCTTTCTGCACAATATGCATGTGTAACTATTTACAATGTCAGTTTCTGCAGAAACCGTAAGTTCAGGTATTTCATTCGCGATGTCAGCGATTTCAACAATGAGGACAAATGCTACACACAAAAATATGAAATAAGCCTAACGAAATAAATA